GCACACATTCTGCAAATATACATATATGTGTGTATGTATATACATAGAAATATGAGTTGTTGGGTTTAGAGAGGTCAAACCTCAAATTAGGGTTCCTTGTAAACATTAATAATCACGTATATGTTTCTTGGTTTAATGAGTCTTTATCTAACCTACGCCTTACTCCACGGTTTTTTCTTTCAACTTTCAATAGTTTAATAATTTAATCTATACATACCTGTTGGTACTTATATATATATGTATATATATTTGTTTACATACATCTACACATATGCTACCTTCGGATGATCAAATGCTGACTAAATATGTATGCGTGTATATATATATATGTATAGATATTAAGCAACAAATTGATCAATATTCGGGAAAATAAGTGGCAATATATAAAAGCTATACAAAAAATATATTCATTTCTGGTGATAATAATACATATTATATTTGATTGAATAATTTGGAATATATACACACACATGTTACATATTATATATATATATATATATATATATATATATATATACATATATATGTTAATTGAATGCTCAAGTAGTTGTTGAATTTAGTAACCCTTAGGATTCCATTTTTTGAGATGCTAAAAATTATTGAGATACATACAAAACCTTGTTTTTTTCAAAAGATTTTATAAATGAGTAAAAGTTGCCATTCCTTGTCCATTTGTAAGAATTCGGTTTGTTATTTCTTTACATATATATATATATATATACGCATCTTCATGCCACAATATATATCTATATATATATATATATATCCAAATGATTAATTATCACATCAAGCCCTCTTTCCAAATATATATATATATATATATATATTATTTGACGACCAATTTTTCAGTAGGACTTTCCTTTGTTGACCGTATCTTTTAGTCTGTATTTATTATCTATTTTCAGATTGCGAGGTATATCTATACATAAATATATATATGTACGTATACACACCAAGATATATTTTTTTAAGTGAATAATTTATATGATGATTAACCTGTAGAATTGATTTTTCTTTTGGTACAGTTTTGCAATAACAACATATTCTTCAAACCGGACCCTTGTTATAATAACACATCAAGTTGGTTTTTATGTAGGGATATGTGTCAGTGTGTGTCGTGAGTGTGTGTATATATATATATGATATAAATATATACATATTATTTGCTATAGTTATTCATTAAATATTATATATATAATTGCTTTGTCACTCGTGCAATTTATCAATTATATTTCCCGTGCTTTTCACTGTGAAGATTAGCAACCTTAAAATATAAACATTTTACTTTATAATATTTAAAACTATACATACATATATATATATATATATGTATGTATATAAGTGTGTGGAATCAATATAGATTATGTGTTTGAAATTTTCATGAATCACTATTTCTTTGACTTGATTAGCATTGTCCTTCAACATAACTTTTTTAGTACAGAATTGTCTTATTAGATATTAGGTATTAATCTGCTTTGACTATTTGTGTGAAGAAATTACCTTAATTAACCAGTTAATGTGTCCCAGAATTAAAGAATCAATGTCTAATCATATTATTAATGTGTATATATACATATATATATATGTATATATGAATACTGTTACATTAATCAAGTATTCATACAAAGAATTCCCAAAAAGGGAAAGTTTACTGAAGAACTGGCAGGGTTTTGTAAGAGACAACCCTGCAAAGTGAGAAAAAGAAATTGATTAGTACCCTTCTGTAACTCTTTAAAGCCTAAAAATAAATGGGTCTCGAAATCCACTTTAAATAAAGATATATATATATATATATGTGTTTATATTGAACAACTCAACTTGCCTTCTCAAAGGGTAGCCTGCCCTAAACTTTGAATAATATCAGACTTGACACCACATGCACATATATATCATTCTCTGGTATACCCCCTCCCAAAGCTACACTCATTCTTCCTTTGCTTTTTCTTAAGGAAACCATCACTAACCTAATTAAAACTTCCTGCAAATCTTTAATTAAAAATGAAAAAGATATGGAAGTAATTGATGGTCAAAAGTTCATATAGATTTTGGGTATGTACCCCATGTCCATTTTGCAGCTTACCCTTTATATATATATATATATATGTACATACATATGTATGTATCTCTGGCCTAGTGTATGCGAGTGTGTAGGGTTCATATCACAACAAAAGATCTATACATACAAAAGTATGGGAATAAATATATAATACCATCTGTCAGTATTCAGAGCCTATGCAAATTCTCTGCCACCCAATTTTTCTTTTTCCCTTCTTTTTTTTTTTTTCTTTCTGATCGTGATGATAAAGTCCATTCCAACACAAAACCCTAAGCTCTCTAGTTTACTACCAGTTTTACTCCATTAAGACAGTCTCTTTATTTGTTTTTTATAATAAATATATCATTCTACAATACACATATACTAATTCAATGATATATATATATATATATATAGAAAAAAAGTATAAAACCAAACAACAATTAGGTTATTAAAGTGGGAGAGATGAAATTGCACCATCATAACTTATAATTAATTTGTAGATATTACATGTATAAACTTTATATATTTCAAGAATATAAAGTACAATATATAAATTAGTAACAATATAATTAATTGTTAATGATGATACAATATGAAACACACAATTTAACTCAAACCTACATGTTTATATAAAAAATGCAGAAAACACCAACTACTTAATAATGTATAATTAGTGTGTATAAAACTTTTTTTTTTGTAATAAATTTATGTATTCACTCTGAACCCACAATACTAAGGGACAATCCAATGAAATGGGAAGTAAACATATATAAATTATATATGTGTGTATGTATATATGTAAGATGTTAGTTTTTGAAAATGTAATTATAAAAGATAAACAGTAGGAGTTGGAAATGCATGCATCCAAATTATAATAAAGTGGGAAAATTCTCTGAAACTTCTGGGAAGGTGTCTCCATCCATATCAATACGTACAGTTGATATCAAACCTCTCTGTCTTCACTCCATTGAACACATTTATATCATTTATACATACATAACACCAAACTTTAATTTAAAAGACCACACGTACAGTACATTTAATTTTATATTTAAAATAGATATATACGTACACTCATAATTATAATTATAATGATATATTCTAACTGAAAATTTCAAATTGAATTTTTTTTTTAGTTTAATAATTTAAAATAAATTATTAAATTAGTTATTAAAGTTTGACATTGGTTATAATTTCATTTTTAATATTATTGTTTTATTTATTTTAAATTTTAAATTTTTTATTTCTTAAAAAAGTTAAAATATATTAAAAAAATAATTCAAAAAATAACTTTTGACTAATTAATTAATAATAAATTTTTTTAATTAAAAATAGAAGAAAATTAAATATTTAAAACAAATAAAAACTATTAACAATTAAATTATAAAAAAAAATTAGAGACTAAATTGATATTTATTTTATATATTTTTATCAAAATTTTGCATATATATATATATATATATATATAGCATCATAAGTAGGTATTCAGCTTTTAATTCTTTTTTTTTTTTTTTCTTTTTTCACATTCATGTCAGGATCTAATTATAAGTTAAAACCCACATGAAAAATTGTTTATTTTTATAAAATTACAAACTGAATTTGATAAATTATGAATTATGATTACTTACTTTCAAAAGCCCTCCTCTAGGGACCCAACCCTAATTATCTGTGGCACCCAGTCCCAGTCCCAGTCCCCCTGCTCCTTTCCCTTTCAGTATATGTATATATACACACACACACAGATATATATATATATATATAGAGAGAGAGAGAGAGAGAGAGAGAGAGAGAGAGAGAGAGAGAGAGAGAGAGAAGTTTCTTCTTTTGATTTTTTTTAAGAAAAAAACAAACATATTATTTACAGATAATGTGAAGTGAATTAAATGAAAATTCTAATTTCACTCATAATACAAAATTTGATGTGTTGTAAATTAATTAATTGTTTATATTTTTTGAAGTAAAAGATAAGAGTATGCACATGGGCTACGTCATATTAGCTCAGCTAACTACCAGTCAAGCTTTGTGCCTGCTCAACCTCTCGTCAATACACACACATATATATATATATAATTACATATAAATATTATTTCAACTTCTAAATCAAAATTAACTGCTAATGAATTAAATAATCTTTTTCAATTTATTTGCAACTATAAGGTTGAGTTTAATTACCATTTTAAATATTTATTTTTAATTCCTTAGAACAAGATAAATATCTACTTTTAGTTTTTCAAGTATGACATCTATTGCATTTTAATTCTAAAAGGTTTATTTTTTGTTCTTCTGAATTTATTTCGAAATGGTAATTAGAGGTTTAAAAGGATTGAAATTTTTATGACCCATAAAGCAACTTGTTATTACACTTCATTTGATTTAATCCTCTATTAAATCATACCTTTGTATCGGATTTGAGTACGAATATGAATCTAAGGCCGTGTGATTCGACAGTTTCGATAGTTTAAAATATATCGACTCGGAGTAATAACTGTCCAAACAATTAGGACTCAGTTGTAAAGAGGAAGATCAATAAAATTTTATAGGTTCAAACAAGTTTTGTTTTAAGTTTAAGCTGTGAATTGGATTACCCTTCTAGGTATTTGGACAAACCCACCCAAATTCAAACATATGCATCCATGCCCCACATAGCCTCCACCCAGATCAATACACTACATGTAGCCCATATTTACACACTGGATTATCCTCTCAATTTGATAAGCATAGCATTGCTAGCATTTCAAGCCCAATTCAGCATATTCATCCGTACCCACATGGCCTGCACCCCAAATCAATACACTACCTAACAGCCCCATATTTATACACTGTATATATATGCATATATCCTCCCAAGGTTGTTTTAAATTTACGCTGAATTGGAGTACCCTTCTGGGCATTTGGACAAAACCCAGTTAAGATATTCACAATACAAATCCATACATGCACTCAAATTCAAGCAAGGCTAGCATTTCAAACCCAATTCAACATATTCATACATGCCCACATGGCCTACACCCCAGATCAATACACTACATACAGCCCATATATACACACTATATATATATATATCCTCACAATTTGATTAGCTTACACTAATCATGCTCCATCTTCAAGCTGCACCTATTATTGACCGTTGTCATGACATCATGTCTCCTCTTTTACCAACCAATGTTCATAAGTCTCGAGGAATCATTGCATTATACGTTTACGTTTGAAACAATTCCATTCTTGTTTGATTTTTATTTTTGGTCCTTAAAGTCAGAATTACACATCAGCCCCTCAGAAATTCAAGTTACAAGCAGAAATGGTTCATATATAAAATTAGATACAAAGCAAATTTCTTTTAAGCATTTTATCGAACAGTTAGTAGGCGAAAAAATTTACATACCTTTTCCACAGAAAACCAGTAAACAAACATCAAAACCCTTTGAGGTCCACTTTCCTTTAACACCACAGGCTTCTCGGCCATAGCAAGACAATACTTAGCAATCTCTCTGAACTTAGGCACACTCCTCAAATCCACCTTCGTCCCATCCTTCAACGTAATCACAATATCCCCCCACTCACCAATGAATCGCGGCACCACCTGCACATCCTTGATAACCTTATAAGAAAAATCGCTCCTGTCTTGGCCTGTCAGTCCCGAGATCACCGTCACCCGCAGGTTGGTGAATCTGTAGCGTAGAAAGAATGCCCTGGAGACGGCCGCCAGAGTTAATGGAAGCCATAGCAGTGTGAAACCCAGAAGGAGGTTTGCTACGAGGTCGCCGTAGTGGGCTCCGCCGTCGAAGAAGATGGTCTCTTCCTTGGGCGGTTTGGAGCCGGTCGGTTTGGTGGCGGTAGTGGTGGGATTGTCGGGAGGGGAGGAGACGTGGAGCTTGGTGATTTGTCTGTTGTGGGAGGAAAGGGGTTTGGAAGGGAAGTTAGAGAAAGGAAGTTTGGAGGAGAGGTGACGGGATTGGTGGGTAACGGAGGAGGTAGTTGCAGGGGAAAGAAAGGAGGTGGAGGTTGAAGCCATTGGAGGGTGGGTTATCTGTTAGTAGAGGAGGAGGAGAAGACGAGAGTTGTGCGTGCGAAGTATTTTGGTTCGTCATTGGCCAACTTTTTGCCACGTGGCGCCGCATGAATCACTATCTTTCTTTTTTGAACTCATAATAAAAATATTTCAATTAAAAAAAAAAATGAAAGGGGTAAATATATTTATAACGAAATAGAAGCATTCATACACGATCCAGTGGGACTAATTCTATATATATATATATATATAAATATATTATATACTTATTAAATTAAAAAATATATTATGTACATACTAGATAAAATGTTACCTAATAATTTTAGAATCATTTCACAGCGTCACCATTTATTTTAAAAGAATAATATCCAAATAGGATAATATTTGTATATAACTTTAATTTATAAACGCTAAACTAAGTTTCGAGTAAATTTGTTGACTAGTTGAAGATTCAAAGTTAGGAGTAAATATATTACGACATGTTATTAGGAGATTATGGTGCAATTATTAAATTGATCACTACATCATGCGAGTATAATTTTAGAACACCCTCTTCGTGCACAGTATAAAGATTACAAGTAGTCAAAATTACTCACGATATCTTTTATACCTCTCAGAAGACGAAGTGATTCAAAATTTTTCCTTCAAGATTGCTGGTGACTCCTTTCAAAAGATATATATTAGCACATCAACACATGTATAGATGGATTTAGATAGAGTTGGTCATGTCATTTGTGCCATAGATTGAGCTTTATACATACCCTTACTTCCCACGAGCTTTATTCTTTATTTTGGCCGGATACAATGAATCAATGTATCTTATAATTAGTATTATTAATAAAAATTTTATTTATTTTTTTAAAAAAATAACAAAAAAGAACTATTATACTATTAATTATATAGTATATTGAATTAGAGACAAATAGCAAATCAAAGTTTTTGTTACTTATTTCAAAAGAATAACTAAGTACAAAGAGTATTGAGACAGACATTTAGAAGAAAATTTTAGTGTTTTAGGATTGCATCCAGGGTCTTTAAAGACTATTTTCAAGATGTTAAAGTAATAATGAGATCTTGTGACAACTCTAAACAATTTAAGATTTTAAAAAATTTTGTAGTATGAGAAAAATATTAGAGTTTCAAGATAGTTCATAAGTAACATCTATAAATAGCATCAAAATTTCAAGACTACTTTCATTAGTCGTTTGATTTTAAACTAATCCTTGGTATAGGCTAGAGCAGTTTATGGGTGCACTATGCCAAAGCTAGAACAATAAAATAATAATATAATTTTATAACAACAGTTAGGCTCTTACGATAAGTTTTAAGTTTAAAAGCATGAAATTTTAAGATAACTTTTGAATCTTGAGCGGTTACAAATCTCTTAAGATAATTTATAATTTTTGAGCAATATTAATTTCTTAAAACAACTTTTTGGACAGTATTGGTATCTTGATTGAGTTCATGAGTTTCGAATTAACGATGCTCAAATTCTTAAACAACTCTCAATTCTTAAGCAATATAGTGTATGAGGTAGTGTTAAATTCTCGAGCAACGTTTAGATATAACGGAAATGTAGGGTTTTAGACTACTTTATTTTCTAATCCCGAAGTTTATTCTTGAATAACATCCAAAATAATTAAATTTCTTATGTATTAATGTGTAATTTTATACAAATTTTATATCTAATATTATATCTTAAAACATGAAATATAATTTTAAACAATTATTCGTTATATTATTTCTTCTTTATCTATTTAGCTTTATCCACATAGTTTAACATATTATCAATTAGTCATTTCAAAAGAACATCACCATTTTAAATCGTCCTATACCAAATAATTTGAGTTTCTATTCATAAATATTGTTTTTACATCATTAATGAAGATACAAGTTAAAAGTAGAATTATTTAGTACCTTTAGAAAAACTATAATTATAAAAATGAATGTTTCTATATATATATATATATATATATATATATATATGTATGTGTGTATAACAAAGAGTTTCAATTCTCAAATGATTACTTTAAAAGTTACACTTCCATTTAAATATTATCCTAGTCGTTGACCCGACCCATATTCATCTCATAAATGCTAATAATATTATATACATACATTCATGCATGTATATATATATATATATAGTTATATATGAAAAAGAAAGTTGAAAGACTTGATAAATAAATAAACAATAATGCATGATCTTTCCATGTTATTGCCCTTCACATGCAGTCTTGAATATTTTGGTAACAATAATTAGAGACATGCTTAGAATCATCTTATTCCCTAATTAATTTTCAATTATATTAAAATGGTTTGATTAACACTAAGCATGTGGCCACTTAACAAGATCCTCTTAGTGGGTATTAATTAATTTTTCCCACTACACCCAAAAAAGAAAACCCTATATTTAATTACCCAAAATTTATGTATACACACACACACACACACACACACCCACACCCACATATATATATATATATATATATATATTTGTGTGGGTTAGCATCTAAAAAATCTGTCATCAGATGCCAAAAGCTTCCAGCAATATTTGTTAAACTCATCACATGATCCCATGAAGATGCGATCCATTAATTAATGTTAATGCACATATATATACATATATATGTATATATGTATATATGTAAACGCCGCAATTTAAATTTTAATTACCCATCTTATGTATTCAAGTAAACACAATGATTAAATTACATTATGGAGATATAGATCAAGGCTTCTGCAGATTCTGTCACATGCTTGTTTGTCCAAAATTGTGGGTTATTTTTAGGTAATAATATCTACGCATACTTTTCTTCTTCTGTGTATATTTTTTTTTATTGCGTTCGTATCGTAAAATCTAGCTAGCTATGGAGAGAAGAACAGATTTATCCATTTGTAAATATTCTTCTCAATCTGAATTCTCTTTTTCCCACTATATTGATTAATGAATATTACGAAGACAGCCAGCAGATTGCCTTTCAATAAATTAAATTAAATTATATTATGTGTCTATATATATATATGTGTGTGTGTGTGTGTATATTTACAGTTTATTCTAAACTTTACCAGCTCTACGTTGACAATTCAACATATATGTATAATATCATATTATAAATAGATAGTGGGATCTTCTTTAAAAAACGTTGCTCGACTCTCCATGTAACCTAAACCTAGGAGTGAAATAAACATCATGAACTCGGATGAAATCATATAACTATGTGTATATACATATATAGTTATAATGATATACGTGTGGTTAAGATTCATATATTAACGTCTAATCAGGTAGCTTTTTAGGTTGTGAGGATGGTGGTAATTATAAAGTAGAGTTAATGGAAAGAAAAGTGTAAATGGTGAACTTTGCGTGGAGATGAAGGTTAATTAATGTCAATTCAATTACTCTCCATTAAAGAGCTTTAACTTTGTTGATGTGAAATAGAATTTTGAACTTTGACAAAATTAGGTCTTTTTTTTTTTTTTGAAATATAAATTTTTGTATCATATAAAATTTATATATCTATCAAGTAACAGCTACAATTATTATAATATTACGAAAATATTTATTTAAGTAATCGATATACATTTAAATTTATATTTTTTTATAGAGAAAAAAATACACGTATCAATTATTAAAAGACTCTCGTTTAAATTTTTAGAAAAAAATGATTTTTTTTAAAGCATTAATTAGGGTTTGGGATGTTGGGGGAGACAAAAGACATGGTGATGAGAAAAATAGATATGGAAGATTGGAAAAAATATAATAAGTGAAGAGAAAAATGCAAAGAGAAGAACAAAGGAAAAAATAAAGGAGGAAAACAATGGAAGAAAATGCTGAGAGGGAGGAGATGATGATGTGGAAAAGAAGAAGAGATGAAAGTGGGATAAAGGGAGGACAGTGTTTGGATGCTAGGGAGTGGGTGACAGACAGTGGGTCACATGAATTCACATATACATATACTTATATAGATGTACATATGTGTATATATATATATATATGTAAATCAGTGTTCCTTTTTATTTTTATAAAAGAAGGAAGAAAAAGAAAAAAGTACTGGAGGGAAAAGGTGAGAGAAATGTTTGGTTGATTGGTAACGTCTCCTTCACGAGAATGACCATTTCCAACCCTCCTTGTTTTCTTCCACTCTTCCATCTCTTTGTCTTCTTCTCTTCTTGGAATGTGTGTTCCATATTCTCTCTCTCTCTCTCTACTCTACAAACACTGTCACTGTAAATATTTATAATACAGATAGATATATATATGTTTGTGGGTATTGTTGAATTATTTGTGTAGTTTATTAAGCTCTAAGTAAATTTTGTTTCGGATAATGACCTCATTATATAAACCAGACATTGATTCACTTCATTACCATTCTCTTTTACACTCCAAACTCAACCAAATTCACAAGCACCCTCTATCTCACTCTGTGTAAAAATAAGAAAATATATATGTATATGTATATAGCTCAAAAAAAGATAGATACCCTTTATTCCTCTTCTCAATCTCTCATGAAAATTCAACTTGATCATCATCATAATCATATATAATTCTACTTTATACACCACTCCAAAATAGTAATAGTAGTAATAATAACACAAGTACCAAAACATGGGGAAAGGGAATACTTTTTTTCTGAATATTGTTAATTAGTTTTTACCCTCGTTTTGAAACTTCTTCTTTTTTTTTTTTTTGCCAATAATGATAATAATATGATCATCAATTGAAATGTTGTTGCTCAAGCCATGGCCAAAATCCAGACTGATCATCAATGGTGCAGAACATGTTGGTGAGACTCTCCTCTTTCACCATCTGCTCCATCTTCTGGTGCAGATGATTATCAGGTCTTGATGATGACGATGAGTTCTGAAACAGCTGTGTCGTTGGCCTTATTGATGATGATGTAGGAAACAGAGCTCTGCTGGTAATTGGTTGATGATGATGATGATGATGATGGGTAGGCAAAGGGCTGTCAATGGCTGGCGTCCTTGAAATATCTAATTTTATATCAGAGCTGTTTTCACTTCTGTTGCTGCAAGATCCTTCTGTTTCTTTATTCAGGTTTATTGACTCAGCTGGTTCTCTGCTTTTCAGTGCCATTATCTGCACCACTCATTAAAATTCCATTCATCCATCAATCACATTTTATATATATGTATATATGTTTGATCAAGTTCTCCATGGTGCAAAAATGGGAAGTGGGAAACTCTTTATATGTGTATATATATGAAAGAGCGATCTGGGTTTTTTTAATTAAAAAAAAATGTTCTTTCAGTAATCATTTACACCTATTAGTTAGCACCTATATATATTTATATATTAGCAATCAATCCATATTAAAAGTTTTTGACATAAATATGATGATGAGATGAAAAAGGAGCCTTTTTTAAAAGGAATCATTGGCTCCAGCAAGTTAACAGAAATGAAGATTCTGAAAAACAATTATGAATGAAAAGAAGTCAAAAGACATGTAAGACCATGATCATCATCTCCAAATGCATATATATATGTGTGTGTGTGTGTGTTTATATATATATATATGTATGTATACACTTCTGCTTGTTTAGGATCAGCACGAACACATTCAAAAGTTCCAAACTTTAATCTCATCATCTGTTTAAACCCAGGAGATATATACCAAGCAAATAAGAACTAAGATGAAGAAAAACAAGAGAAGAATTTACAGATACCTCTGCATGGAGCTTTTGGTTTTGAGCTTGGAGAGCATCATTATCTGCTTTGATAGCTTCATACTGTCTCTTGAGAAGATCATAATCTTTCTCGAGCTGCTTGGTCTTCCATCGAGCTCTCCTGTTTTGAAACCAGATAGCAATCTGTCTAGGTTGCAGACCAAGAGCCCTAGCCAGCTGCATTTTTCTCTCAGGCTCAAGCTTATTACCCAACTCAAAGTTCTTCTCAAGTGTTTTCACCTGTTCCATGTTCAATCTCCTCTTCTTCTCTCCCGCCTGTGATCCATCATCAGACAACTCATCTTCCCCATTTCCCTCCTCGCACACCTCGATCCCAGAAAACGACATGGATCTCTTCCCTAAAAACGACGCCACCCCTGCACCAAACAAAACCATATTAACCCAAGAACCAGAAAGAGAGAGTGCGTGTGTGTGTGAGTGAGAGAGAGAGGGAGGGGGGAAAAGGGTTTGATTACCATGAAAGTCTTGGGAAGTGCAGGAGGTGAGAAGAGTGTGGAGAGGGGGTTGATGGTGATCTTGATGATCAGGAGGAGGGGTTTGATGCATGAAATTTGTTGGGAAGAAGGCCATCCCATTGCAAGACATAAGAGAGGTCTGGTTGGTTTTGATTTGTTGGATGATTTTAAAAAAGGCGATGATGAGTAGACGATAATCTCACTGCAGCCATGTTAGATGATGAGAAGGATCTTGCAGGGGGTGGAGTGATCAGAGGTGACAGAATTTGGAGTGGGAAAAGGAAAGGAGAGAGAGAGGTGGTAGTACATGAGATATATATGATATGATATATATGATTGTTTAGATATAAAATAAAAAAATTTAAAGAGAGAAAATCAGAGTTTTTCTTCAATTGGAAGGAGATGGATACAATGGTGCAATTAATAGCTTATATACCTTAACAACTCCTAGAAAGAGATTGATTTCCTTTTATATTTTGAAAGAGAAAAAAAAAAAAAAAAAAAAGGAAAAAGAGAAAAGAAGAGCTGTGGGGTGTGGGGTAGAGAGAGAGAGAGAGAGAGAGAGAGAGAGAGAGAGAGAGAGTATATGTATACATATATACACACACATATAATATTATATATATATATATGAAATGACATTGATTGTAGTTTAGTTACTAACTAGTTCTAGCTAGTTCAGCTTCTATTTACATGATGAAGAATTTTTCTCTTTTATTTTATTTTTCTTCTTGCTGCTGTGATTTTCAACGTGACATCTGGTAGTGGAGGATAATTTCAACTTCTCATCTATGTCTAATTCTCTATTATTTTTTTAGCATTGTTATATATATATATATATAATTTATTGTGTAAATCCAAGAATATGAAAGGAAAAGTGAACTGTCAAAGATTCCAGTTATGACACACTGAAATTAATTAATCAATTTGAAGGAATTAAATCCTATAAACTAAAAAATTCATGTCATATATAACACTATTTATCTATATATTAATTATGATAGCTGTAATAAAATACATATATATATATATATATATACATACATACATTGGTGTCATTTTCTTTGATGGGTGTTAATCTTCCAAGTTGAGAGACATGTAGTGGTGTTTTCTCAATAAAGACAGTTGGCTTTAAACACAATATATATATATATATATATATGTATATAAGAGTTTTTAGAATGGATGGGAAAGCAATTAAACAACTTTTTTTTTTTGTTTGTTTTTTTTTTTCAAGTAGCTTATAACAGTGATTCCCATTTGTGTTAAAGAAGCTGAGAATGGAGTGACTTCAATTTCCTCCATGTACATATTTATTAGTTGATCATCAGTTGCTTGATGTTGTAATTTATGATATGTATATACAAGTGGGTGTACGTATAGATGTATGTAAGTGATAAAGGTAAAAACTGTAAGAAGAGAGAGAGAGAGAAGAGAGAGAGAGAGGAATCTAGGGTGGTGAGGATGGGTCCAAGGAAGGGGGGGCAGGGTTTGCTACCTAACCCACCAACAGGTATCGTGCAGGAGGACTAACCTCTTTTCCCATTCATTATCTTTTCTTTCCCTCTCTGCATTGGAATTTGCTTCTTCCTCATTGGTTTCTGTAGCCAGAATAGTATCTCCTGTACACGTATATTTTGCTGTTAGTACGTATACACTAATTTGTAACATCAAATTTTTTTTTTTTTTTTAATGATCTGAATTAAACTCATAAACTCTGGTAAAACGAGAAAAAAAAATTCTTATGAAACGAGAAAAAAATACTGATTTTATCCCGGAGAAAAAAGAAGTAAAAGTAGTGGGGGTAAACATATGAAAAGCCCAACCACAACTCCTGTTTGTTTACAACCCCCACAAGAGCTGGTCTTTTTTGTCTTTGTACCCCATCTCTCCATCTCTATCCCCACTCCCCTCCTCTCTTCTCCCACCATTTTTGTCCTTTACATACTTCTCTTTCTCTCCCTCTCTCTATTTCTCTCTCTCTCTCTATATATATATATATATTTATATAAAACACACAAATACACTTCTTTTATTATATAGTATATACATGTGACTATGTATATGTATACCCATATGATAATTTCACGAAAGAAGTAGAAAAAAGTACCGTAAGGAGTATAAACTCAGGAAAGTTTGCGAGAATGGCAGACATCTTTAGTTAAAAACTTTTTGGAGGCTGATTAGACATACAGAAGCATTTATATTTATTACATTGTTTTCAAAGCCTATATATATATATATATATGTGTGTGTGTATCTTTTTATAGCTGATACCGCTACACCTTTTGAAAACTTTACATTCATTTGATTTCGGGTGTTGTTTGTTATTAATTCATTTTTAAAAAAATTTCTAATTAAGTTTTCTATTTTCCGTTAAATTTTTTTTGGTGTTATATAGGAAAGCTATATAAAAGTCAAATATGTAGTTTTCGTTAGGTCACTATATGTCTGCTGTCACATCTGGATATTATAAGTAGCTATATATACATACACAGAGACTAGAGTGTTCTATGATCCATCCCTTTGATTGTTTTCCAAGTCTCTCTTGTATTGCACAACACTCTACACTTACTCATATATATATATATATATATATTTTTACATGCATGCTGGCAATATTCCTATTGCCACCTTTTCTTTTTTCCTTCTGGCTTCAAGAAATTTCTTTATACAATTACCAAGAGGTAAGTATATAATTATAAATATCTAGCATCATAACCTACCCTCAATTTAGAAGAGTACGTTTCATCCTTGGCATTTCTAAGTTAATATAAAGTTACAATTTTTACATGTTTTTTTTTATTATATAGAAATAACTTGTTTATGTGTATTTTATAACTTTTTAAATGAATATATTTATTTAAAAATTGAGGAATTTTACGGTGTCGTATACACTCCATTTTTAAAACCGTAAAAATTTGTAGTAAATTTTTTATGTTGTGATTTTCATGTTCTAAAAAAAGATAGATATACATATTTTCAGAAGGTAAATTATTGCAAATGACAATTACAAATTAGACTACGAAACAACTTGGTATTCTTCCTAAGGCCTAATTGACTTAAGACCAAATTAGGAAGGTGTATAATACATTTTATGTTCAGTAAAACACTCTAATTTCTAGTTGGTTTAAGTAAAATTTAAAAATAGATTTTGAAAAAATTGACAAAGTTGGACCATTCATATAGTTTAGGTGAATAAGTTATAATATATGATATAAGTAAGTAAAAAATTCGAGTTTATTTTAATAAATACAAAATTAATATGATTTTTGGTAGGATTGAGCATTCGGCCGATTCG